AGAGACAAACCAAGAAACAGACTATTTTTTAAAGGAAAGGGAACTTTTTTTTTTTTTTTTAAAAGAGATGGGGGAGAAGCAGAGGGAGAGGAAGAGAAAAAGAATCTCAAGCAGGTTCCATGCCCAGTGCAAAGCCTGATTCAGGGATCTACCTCATAACCCTGAGATCATAACCTGAGCTGAAATCAAGAGTCAGACACTCAAATGACTAAGCTCCCCAGGCGCCTCCCAAGAAACAGTCTCCTAACTAAAATAGAGAAAAAACTAACTGATGGTCCCCAGGAGGGGAATGGGTAAACAGGTGTCAGGGATTCAAGAGCACAGAGTAATACAGAGATTAAAGCCATTTTCACCTGAAACTAATAAAACACTGTTAACTACACTGGAATTAAAATTAATAATTTTTTTAAAAATGAAAAATCTCTTTTTAAAAATTCTTTAGTTTTACTGCTCCTGTCTATTTCTGACACAGTTAACGCAACGGCTGGGCACAGAGGCTGTGGCGGAGGACCCCACCTGCACCCCCAGCCCTAATGGGCGGGATAAAGAGGCAACTGTGGTGAGCATCAGCACGATTGCTGCCCACCTGCCGGTTGCCCACTGGAAATCAGAGCTGCCCGAGCAAGAGGAGATTTGAGCTGAGCCACTGGATCTGCCCTAAGAGCCATTAGCATTGGACAATGGAGCTTGTAGCCACATGTCGGTGTCAGATTGCATTTTTGGACATATTCCTGTGAATGCTGGAAAGTTGATTCAGAGGGGACTTGAGATAGCACCAAGCACAGAGAAGGCATAAAACGAGTGTTCTTCTGGTCAATCCACGTAAACCACATAAACCAGTGAAGAATGCTCTCGCTCGTCTTTATATAGAAACTACCTGGTAGGACACCTTCAACATCCAACTGGAATTTACTCTTCACTTTAGTTTTCAGACAGTCTGGGCTGTTGAATGGGTCATTATCTCTTCCTGCCTTGACAGCCTACCTCAGGATTTACCTCGTCAGAACATTTCCCCAAGCCAAATCTACCCAAATCTGATTACTAATTTATCTGGTACCTCAAAACAGGTCAGTCTGTTCTTAGAGAATTTCAGATCTAAGAGGAACTGCAGGGGCGCCTGGGTGGCTCAGTCAGTTAAGCGTCTGCCTTCGGCTCAGGTCATGATCCCACGGTCCTGGGATCAAACCCCATGTTGGGCTTTGCACTCAGTGGGGGAGGCAGCTTGTCTCTTTGCCCCTCTCCCCACTCGTGTACACACACACACAAACACACACACACACACTCTCTCTCTCTCTCACTCTGTCAAATAAATAAATAAAATCTTTAAAAAATAAATACATTAGAGGAACTTCAGACACCATGCCCTATGGCCGGCCCTCTCTGAGAGGCAGCTCCGGGATCCAGGGGTTCTAGAGCAGACACACCTGGGTCCCAGCCAGCACTGGCTCCTGTCAGCTGCCTGACTGGGGGCACTTTCCTCACCCACCTCCTGAGCCTCACTCTTCACAACTATAACACAGCCTCTGGCCCGTGTAAGAATTTAACAAATCATAGCTGTTACCATCAATGTTACTTTGTGCCGTAGATACCACTTGCCCTAAGGCTGTAACAGTTAGGTCCCTAAGGTGTTCGGAGCAAAGGCCCTCACCATTTCTCTCCTGCACTACAACAATAGCTTGCCAAGTGGGCTCTACAACCAGGGATTGATTCCTCTTCTACACTATTACCAGAATGTTCCCTTTTAGAAAACAAATCTGATTGAAATCCCCATGCTTAAAAATGGTCAGTGGTTCCCAGTGTCCACAGTAGAAAGTGTAAACTGCTTAGAAGCTCCCCCGCCGCCCTTCACGGTCTCCCCCTGGCCCCTTCAGAGCAATCTCCACCTGCCATCCCCATCCCCAGGGATGTTGTGCTTCAGCTCTCCACAACCTCCACCCTCCTCCCAAGTTGGCGTGCCCTCGCACACTTCCGTGCCTAGGTCCTGGCTATCCCTCTGCCGAAAGCATTCACCTGTCTTCATCTGGACAACTCCATCACCAAGCCCCAGGCCAGCCTTCTCTTTCCAGAAGCTTCCACGGCTCCGGCTCCGTAGGCTCAGGCATTGCCCCACCTCTGGGCTCCTCCTTCCTTACAGCCTTCCACTATCTTCATCCTCATCACTCACTTCTCCCAGTTTGTGGTTTTCCCTCTGACTTCCTGACTCTCTCTCGTTCTGGGGGAGGGGCTGCTTCTCAGGCATCTTCATACACACAGGGACTGTGTTCAGCACCTGTCCCAGGGTGAGCGCTCGCTAAAGAGCTCTGGAATGAAGGACTAAGTGAACAAGTGAGTGGATAGGTGATTAAATGAATTAAAGAGCTAGAAGCTTCCAGGTTGTTTCTCATTTCACTATATCCACCTTATCCACCTTTGTTTGCACACTAATTATTTAATAAATTTATTAGTACAGTTTTCACTTAAGCATATGATATCTCTAGAATTAGATTAGAAGCTTCTAAAGGACAAGTTCGTCTTCCAAACTATACTCAGTATACCAATACGGGACATGCCAGTTTTGGTTAAGTTTCTGAACGCTCTCTTTTGCAATATACCTGCATGGCAAGAATTTTCTTCAGTTCTTACAAGGGAAGTTACAATGAAGGCTTCATTTCAAAGGGAGTGTGGTAATAAGATGTTATCCTAGACAGTCATAGAAAAGGAATGACCTGGTTTATTTTCTTTCCAATAGCAGAAAACAGTCAGGTTCCATCTCTTTAGATGTTTAAATAGAAACCTGTATTTTAGTGTTCAGAACCTTCAAAAGAGATATTTTCTTGCATAAAACATGAAAACATGGGCTCAGTGGAAAAACTATCTTCAGTCTCTCTCATGTCTTCATCAAACTTTCCAAAATATTATCTAAAGAAATATAGTATTACGTTAAGCTTAAATTTATTCTCATAAGTGTTTATAAAGTATTCAACCAAAGAAATAGCTCCTAAGTATGAAACTTATTTTTATTCCTGGTAACTGAGTGCAGAGACAAATGTGACAATAAAGGCCAACATTTACTCCTCCATACACATGAGAATAAACAGGTTCACAGGCATGCTGACCATCGCACACCTTGTCTATCGACCCCAGCTCAACTGTTCTCAACCAAGGACTCTGCCCTCCAGGGGACATTTGGCAATGTCTGAAGACATGACCGTAACCAGGAGCTTGCTACTGCCCCCTAATAGGTGAGAGCCAGACATGCTGATGGTGCTAAACCTTCCACAACACACAGAACAACCTCCCATAACAAAGAATTATCTGGCTGAGGGGCACCCGGGTGGCTCAGTGGGTTAAGCAGCTGACTTCGGCTCAGATCATGATCCCAGGATCCTGGGATCGAGCCCCACATCAGGCTCCTTGCTCACCGGGGAGCCTGTTTCTCCCTCTCCCTCTCTGTGTGCTCTTTCTCTCTCTCTCTCTCTCTCTCTCTCTCTCTCTCTCTCTGTGTGTGTGTGTGTGTGTGTGTGTGTGTGTGTCTCAAATAAATAAATAAATAAAATCTTAAAAAAAATATTGTCTGGCTCAAAATGTCAATAGTGCCAAGATTGGGAAAGCATGCTCTACAATGACAGATTTCCATATCACTAAGGCAAAATAGTAGAAGAGGATGGTTCATATTCCTAATTACTCTCCCCTCTCCCCAAACTGCAGAATTAGGAGGAAATAAATTATGATATTGTCACAGTTTATACATGAGATAGCATTTGAAAGGAAACAAGATCGGGAAAAATAAGGAGCATTTCAGCAACTGAATTCTCAGAAGGAAGACACATTTTAGACACGTTCATTTCTACTGTAGTCAATTTTGGCATCTGCAGCTGGTTTTAACTGTCCAGGCAGATGGGTAAGTGGAACTAAAGTCAGCCTATAAAACCTACACCAAGGGACACCGGCTCAGTTGGTTAAGCTGCTGCCTTCGGCTCGGGTCATGATCCCTGTGTCCTGGAATCGAGTCCCACATGGGGCTCCTTGCTCGACAGAGAGCCTGCTTCTCTCTCTCTCTGCCTCTCCTGCTGCTTGTGTGCTCTCCCTCTCTCTTTCTCTCTGACAAATAAACCAATAAAATCTTTAAAAAAAAAAAAAAACCTACACCAACTCCAAGAGTCCAATTTTCCAAGAGCTAAAGGAGTTCTGAGTATGAGATTTCCAGTGGCTCTGAAAAGCACTGCAATTCCCATGGACATTTATAAAGGGGGTCAAAAAGCTGAAGTCTAATGTATCTCCAAAATAGGTGACCAGGCCTAGTCATTCTGTAATAGGCAAACAAACTATTCCAGTTTCAAAGGAACAATTCAGAAGTATATTCACTGGACCTGGTGACTGAAATACCAAATGAAGAAGGCATCCAAGGAAGATTATTTTCTACCACTTCTAAAACTGTATTTGCATTGCAAAAATAATCTTCACTAAGATGGATATTTGGGTGTCTATTTCCAAATGGAATGACAAAAACAGGGATGCCTGGGTGGCACAGTTGGTTAAGTGTCTTGCCTTTGGCTCAGGTCATGATTTCAGTGTCCAGGGGTTGAGCCCCATATTGGTCTCCTTGCTCAGTGGGGAGCCTGCTTCTTCCTCTGCCTGCAGCTCCCCCTCCTTGTGCTCTCTGCCTCTGACAAATAAATAAATAATATCTAGAAAGACATATAGGAAAAGAAAAAAGAAAAGAAAAGAAAAGAAAGAAAGGGAAAGAAAGAGGAGGGAGGGAGCGAGCAAGGGGGGTGGACAGAAGGGAGGAAGACAAAAACAAAATTGTTTAAGCTAAATATTTTAAGGATATATTTGGAGTTCAAGTTTTTGAAAAGATTTTTCACTGAAGGCTATTATAGTTAACTGTTGAGACTTCAGCCAAACCATCTACAGGTACTGCTGGTTTTCATAATGTACGATTCTGGAACAGCACTACACTGACTTACATTTCCAGTCATAAAAACCTCCGAACACAATCCCCATGGATAAATACTAACCACCAATCCGTGATAAAAATCTCTTCTTCTGCCTCTTCCATAGCATTTGCCACATCTTCAAAATACCCTTTGGCATTAACGTACCTGAAAGACAAGTGTTTTTGTTTCTTTTTTTTTTTTTAATGAAAGGAAAGAGATCTTATGGTAAAATAAAAGATAAAAGCCACTGCCTGAGTCACTACAAAGCCATCATTTTACTTTGTAAAACTGAAGACCAAGGACTGAAAATCCCATCTTCCGTCTGCCATGCAGGAAGTACAGTAAGGAGACAGAAGGAAGCGACCGGATTCTGCTGAGAGAACAACAAATTGGTCTCATCATCATGAGTCAGATGAATTCCCTCATCCTGGTGAACTCACACCATGGTTTGTCTGGGACTGAAGACAGACCAATTTCCAAATCATGGGTAGAAAAACATGCAAAGCATTTTATTTAAAAGAAATACCTAGCAAATAAATTCTTATTCTTTAATTACAGCTAATAACTAAAATAAACATTCCATGTGTATCATTAAAAATGGAAAAGTTAGCTTTTAAAATCAAACTTCAAAATCTAAAGCTAGCTATTGAGTGCTCACTGTGAAAATCTTAAATACAAAAATTGGATAACTACTCTACGCTCAGGTAGTCCTCTAAAGAAAGACCCTTGTCAAGTATAAGGCAGAATATGTTTCCACAGCTTTGAAAACTGCTTCCAGATGAATTTAGGCCCGCTATAACAACAGATACTATGACTATAAGAAATAGTTTTAGAGCAAAACAATCTTACCATTTAGCTAAAGTATTCTCTTGGATAGCAGCGTATGACCCAAATCGATGATCTTTGAGAAAGTTGGTGCCGTGTTTCTGGATGAATTCTTCTATAGCTCCTCCCCACCACCGAGCATGTCTATAGCTGTTGCATTTTAAAATAAGTGTCCTTCAAAAAAAAGCAAAGTGTGGAAAAAAGTGATCACTCTGTGTTCTGTTTCTTTAAAAAAAATTTAACAATTAAACTTGTGCCATTTTGTTTTGGTATTGCGGCAAACATAGGTTGAAATTTTTAAGCAAAGAACATCTTATTTATATCAAAAAAGCAGACTTCTGAACATTTTGGGCAGGATTTTAAACTATATTCAATATAGCAAGAATAAATTTTCAGGTAGTTTACTCATTCATTCATTCTAAAATGCGTAAACGTACTTACTATGACTAGAACTATAGTAGGCTATGAGGGAGATAATCTTAAACTTCAGGCTCTCAGAGAAGATCAGAAAGTTTAGCATCTTTTTACATCCACACACACACACACACACAAAACACATGCCAATGTGTATCAGACAGGGTATGTGTGTGTCTGTGTGTGTAAATACATCTGTATTTATGTAAGTCAGTGTGTGAAAAGAAAAAAAAATTATATCTGTATTCATGAGGCTGAACTTTGTAGAACCAAATGTATATATAGAGAAAAAGATACACATATTACGTATGTGTACAATCTTCCAGAAAAAACATTTATTAACACACACTCGCTAATAAAATCTATAGTTAATGAACACTTGAGTATCCCTTCAAGATTTCTTTCTTAAAATCTGTGTGCAAACAGAATTTTTGTAAATCAAATCACTGTTTATGTGTTCCTGTTAACTAAAGGATATCAATTTATAAAGTAAAATTTTATTTTTTTAAAATATGAAACTATCACTCCTTAACTTATCTGTTTGGTAAGTTGGTATTACCGAGTCATTAATTTTGTAGTAGGCATACATTTTATTAAAACAAGCATAAATCATAAAGCATAAATGTGATTATTTATTTTGTTTTACACTGGGTATTCTATACTTAAAAATATATAGAAAGAAAAGTAATTTCATTATTTTTGGTTGAGGATGAGTTCAAAATAACAATTTTCTAACACTTAAATTATTTTACTTCCTTCACTCAAGGTTGGGAGAGAAACTTTGTTTTTGAGAGAAATCTTTTAAAAATACTTGAAATTTCTACCTTGAAAGATTATCAATTCGGAGCCCATATTTGGTCTCTGTTTCCTTCTTCCCCACCTTAATTTTGAATTCTTTATCGACCAGCAGGACAAAGGCAATGGCACCACTGTCCGGTTTCATATATAGCAAAAATGAATCTTTCACTATCAACCACCTGTAAGAAGGTAATAAATATTTTTAGAGTTGATTACTGAAACAAAAAGAAGAACAAGTTAAGACAAGTAAACACCCTCCCAGACTGTAGATATTTTATTTTTTACATAGGGTATATATTTTTTAAACATCACTATGCAACAACCACAATCACAAAAAACGAACAGGAGGTCTACTATGTTTTTCTAAGAAGTACTGGCACCAAGCAATTCAAAGCAATTCATTAGCTTAGTATACACCAATGGCAAAGCCTGAAGGAGCGCCCCTGAAACGGGCACGTAGAGCTTGCGGCACGTAGAGCTTGCAGAACGTATAGTAGGACCCTCAGTTGTTGGAAAAATGGAAATGCATTGGAAACATGCTTGCTAAAATAAACTGTCATAAAAGAGGCAAATTAAGTCTCTTGGGAGGTAAAAATCCTCCTTTAAAAACAACCCAGTAAGCATCTAATACTCCACATATTCTGTTCTTTAATTCAAATTACTTGTGGTTTTAAAGACTATTAATAAACAATGTTCAATAGGACATGATCTCTCAGAAGCACATATGTATTCAACTCAATATATATTTAGGAGTTTCATGAAGGGGGCGCCTGTGTGGCTCAGTTGGTTAAGTGACTGCCTTCAACTCAGGTCATGATTCCGGAGTCCCTGGATCGAGTCCCACATTGGGCTCACAGCTCCATTGGGAGTCTGCTTCTCCCTCTGACCTTCTCTCCTCCATGCTCTCTCTATCTCTCAAATAAATAAATAAAAACTTTAAGAAGTTTCATAAAGGGAAAATACCGTGATAAGCTGGATACTAGGGTAGGGGTAGCAACAGCACAGAGGTAAATGAGACATGCTCTCCAAATGGCTTACTAGGCTAGTGGGGCACAAAGAAGATACTAGAAACTGTAGGGGTAATGTGTATAAGAAGGAGGGAGTCCTCAGTTTGGACTAAGAGACAGAGGTAGAGGCACTGACTCAAAGAGGTGGTATCTGAGCACAGTGGCTGAGGCGTATATCCCACATGGAGGGAAGAGTGGGCAAAGGGATGGAGGTATGGAAATGCTACATGTGTTGGCAGAAAGTCTGGTGAGGTCGGGTCTTAGGGAATATAGTAAGGAACAATGGGCAAATGAGTATCACGTGGGGATGATGGGCAAAGGCTGCACTGAGGAGGGTCTAAGGATCCTGCCCAGGATGCTGATTTTACAGCATGGAACCTGCGTTTCCTAAACTTGTTTTGCCATCAGAAGCTCTTGAGATGCTTGTTGAGATCCATTAAAAAGTTCCTGAGATCCATTAAAAAGGCCTGACAATCTGTGTTTTTAACAGAAACACCAGGATGCTTATTAAATAAGAGAATCCTCATGCCCCAGCAAGGAAGAGGATGAGACTATCATTGTAATTGTGTTCTAGAAAGAAAATTATGAAGGATAAAGAGGGATGTAATATGGCAGGTTAGCAAGCTCCAACAATAATACAGAACAACTCTTCTAATACTTTACTGTGAATATGCCTCGCATGGGTATCCTGTTAAAATGCAGATTCGGTGCAGTATCACAAGGCCAAGAAATGACAAGTGTTGGTGAGGATGTGGAGAAAAGGGCACCCTGGTGACCTGTGGGTGGGAGTGTAAATTGTTGCAGTCACTACGGAGAACCATATAGAGGTTCCTCAAAAAAATACAGAAATACCAAATGATCCAGCATTTTCGCTTTTGTAATATTTACCTAACGAAAACAAAAACACTAATTCGAGGAGATGTATACACCCCTACATTTGTTGCAACATTATTTATAATAGCTGAGATATGGAAGTAACTTATTGATGAATGGATAAAGAAAATGTGGTGGAATATTACTCAGCCAATAAAAAAAAAGATCTTGCCATTTGCAACAACATGAATGGACCTAGAGAGGGTGTTATGCTTAAGTGATATAAGTCAGAGAGAAAAAGACAAATACCATATAACTTCATTTACATGTGGAATCTAAGAAAACAAAAACCAACCAACCAACCAAAGCAAAACAGAAATAGACTCATAAATACAGAGAACAAATTACTGGTTACCAGAGCAGGGACGGGTGGAAGGATGGGCATACAGGTGAAGGAGATTAAGAGGTACAAACTTCCAGTTGTAAAATAAGTAAGTCACAGGGATGCCAAGTACAGCTCAGGGAATATTTTAATAACTTTGCATGGCCACAGATGGTAACTATATGTATCGTAGCGAGCATCTGATAATGTACATAAATGTTGAACCACAGTGTTGTATGCTGAAACTAATGTAATATTATATGTCAATCATACTTCAATAATGTAATAAAAACAGTAATAAAATAAATAATAAAAATAAAATGCAGATTCTGATTCAGTAGTTCTGGGGCGGGGACTGAGATTCTGCATCGCTCATGAGTTCGTGGGTGACGCCCAGACTAGCATGACATTTGAGCAGTGAGGACGCAGATGACAGGTTGGCAATGATAGCGAGAAGGCAAGACCATACGGGATTGATTTAAAACGAATGCACGTGGCAACTGTGTCATGCTGCCTACAACACCTATAATCACATTTACTTATGTAAATGTGTCACCGTGTCGTTATCAAGTCAGTTCATAACAATAAAACAATAGTGGGCATATGATATCACATACCACACAAAGCCAAAGCCCATTACAGAACGGGAAAGGCTGGAACACCTGAACATAAGTAATAGTGTAAATGTGACATGAAAGTCAGTATCTAAAAAAAAATCTGTAATAAATTGTTACTGAAATAGCTAGCCACATTACAATTTAGTGGCTTTAGAGTTTGGGACTTTTTTTTTTTTTTTTAAAGATTTTGTTTATTTATTTGACAGATAGAGATCACAAGCAGGCAGAGAGGCAGGCAGAGAGAGAGGAGGAAGCAGGCTCCCTGCTAAGCAGAGAGTCCGATGCGGGGCTCGATCCCAGGACCCTGAGATCATGACCCGAGCCGAAGGCAGAGGCTTAACCCACTGAGCCACCCAGGCGCCCCTAGAGTTTGGGATTTAACACACACCAATCTATGTTGGCCTCCACCTAGGTTCATTTCATTCACTTGTTTCTTAAAATACAGCCTGGCTCCTTCCCAATAAAAGGGAATGGGATGGAGTTAGGATGACTCACAGTGAAGGACATACATATGACATGTTAACAAAAGGAAAAACATTAAAGTCACGGAAAGCAAATACCTAACCACAACATTAACATAAATATGGTGACGGTATGCCAACCTGCCTCTGAGCTTCCTGGTTTTTCTTACCCAGTGAATAAATTAAAGAAATAAAAGGTGTCTCCCCCAAAAATTAAATTCCAAAGGAAGTTTCTCATTTGGGACCTAACAGCAGGCAACTGAGCAGTATAACGGATACCATTCTCAATAATCGTCAGCAAAGGCAGGAATTCTACTTTTTGTAAGCATTCGCCTAACACTGCTCAATGTCAGTGTCACTGCTACTGCTCAAGCCGTGATATAAACAAGGACTCAGTGGTTCCGAAGGCCTGAGTTGTGAGTGCAGACATGCAGGCTGCCTATCACTGAGTTCAGGATAAAAGAGAGTGGGGCGGATCATGTCTCTGTCTAAAGCTCCTTCTTTAGCCGAGGTCCCTTCTCTCAGCTGCACCTGCGGTAGAAGTTAGCGGGCACGAGGCATGGCCCAGGCCCAGAGAACCGCCGTACCATCCTGCTGACTGAGCAGGAGCCAGAGGCTTTGAAAACCACAGCTGCCGGGCCTGCTGGTCGGAGAAGAAAGTCAAACACAGCAGCCTGGTGAACCTGTGTGCCTGGAAGTAAAGCACACCTACACGGCCGCAATGTGAGCTCTCACCAGAGCGCCACACCGGGGGCCACAGTGCGGGATGACGGTGGGGTGACCCCTACCCAGGTGTACCAGCTCCCATGATTGGCATTACAAAACAAATCTCAGAAAAGCTTCTGAGAGCAGAGGCTGGTGGCAAAACCACCAGGACAAAGGCTGACAAACGTGGCATTAGGGACAGGCCACAAGGTACCATTGAGCAGGCAAGTCCTACACCAGGACATCTGGTACATGACATCCTGCAGAAATGGTACTTTTCTCTAATTGGCACAGAGGATCTGTACAGGCTCTCAGCAACCTTGTTCAGCAATGGCAAGGAGAGAGCTGGGTGTACTATGGGGCGAGAGCACGGGTGAACACTGGCGCTGCCATCCATGGGGTCTCCTATGTGCATTCTGTCTCTGCCCCTCCAAGATGAGGCAGACTGCAAATACAGAAGAGTTTACTAATAACAGCTGGATTTTTTTTTAAGTAGGTTCCATGCCCAGTGTGTTGTCCAACATGGGGCTTGAACTCACGACCCTGAGGTCAAGACCTGAGCTGAGATCAAGGGTTGGACATTTAACCAACCAAGCCACCCACGTGCTCAGGTGTCAGCGGGATTTTTTAAAGCTGAATGTCAAAGATAACAATCTTTGTTTCTGTGAATTCTTTTTAATAGTCATTAAACATCAGGGTAAACTGACTCCTGGTCTTTTTTTTTTTTTTTAAAGATTTTATTTATTTATTTGACAGAGAGAGATCACAAGTAGGCAGAGAGGCAGGCAGAGAGAGAGGGAAGCAGGCTCCTCGCAGAGCAGAGAGCCCAATGCGGGGCTCGATCCCAGGACCCCGAGATCATGACCTGAGCTGAAGGCAGAGGCTTTAACCCACTGAGCCACCCAGGCGCCCCACTCCTGGTCTTTATATAAAGCTCTTAATTACGTCATTCATTAAAATTCTTCTGATTTCTTTCCTTTCTCTGCATCAACAAAGGAATTGGTCAAGTTGTCTTCTGGAAGTCGGCACCGGCTACCCAGGGACTAAGCACCTACCTACCCGTCAGCCTCCCTGGGCTCCAATTCCAGCTCAGCCACCTGACTGTGTGACTTGCGTGACTGAGCAAAAGGTCTCTACCCATGAAATGAGGGGAACAGCAATGCCCAGCTCATCTGTGTTTGTGCGAAATAACAGAGGTGATTCACATACGTTGCTCAGCACCGCGACTCACATTGACAAGGAGGCGCTTTACAAACGTTCTTGTTCTCAAGGAGGTGAGATCATAGTCCCTTCGAACAAGATGCCTCCTGCCTGGGCCACTCCTTGCTATGACACTAAAATGCGGACAAACCACCAGAGCCGGCCTTCTCGGTCTCCCCTTCTCCTGTTGTCTCCCACCAGACGTCTGGCTGTTCCTCAGATTTGCCAAGGTCGTTCTCTGCACCTCTACATTTGTTATTCCTCTACCTAGAAATATTTCTTCCAGATCCTCCCAAGGGCTGTCTTTTCCTGTTCATCAGCTCTCTGCTGAGACTCTCCTCCCAGGGAGGCCTTCCCAGGCTACTCAAGGGTAAAAAGCTGGCCCAGTCCCCAACCCACCTTCCATCTGTTTGTCTTCCTCAGGACACGTCCCTGGGATTATCTGCTTATTCACTGTCTGTAGAATTCTTGGTATAGCTCAAAGTTTGGAGAAATAAATGCTACATTTATTTCTTAAAATTTGTGTCTCCTTCTCCTCAGACATCATTTGAGATAAGAAACACATCGTCTAATCCACCACCCAATGCCAAGAAGTTGCTCAACAGATAGGCTGTTCAAGCAGTTGCTTTAAATTGTGGGAAGAAATGTCTGCCATGTTTGTCTTTTTTTTTTTTTTTTTTAACTTGTCCTTGAGACAAGGTCATTATGAGACTTGATTGAAAGTTTAATTGCAATTGCCCCATTTGCTTTATCCTGATTTGTTAAGGTAGCATAAATAAGAAAGTCATCAGAATGCTTTTTATGGGCATAAAAATAAAAGAGAGAGTTATGAATGTGTCACCCTTAAAAGCAACTCCTATTGAGATACTAATAGTTTCTACTGTGAGAAAATTTCTAACCTAATTTTGTCAGCTCTATCTTATCATTTTATTTGGTACTGACACCTTATAACCCACAAATGTAACTCAGGAGATCCTTATTAATGGGGAACCAAGGCTTCAATCTTTGTGGAAAGATTTATATAATTTAAAATGATGACACATTTCATTCCAGGGAAGATCATATCTCTTTAGGCTGTCCTGGTTGAAGCCTGATTTAATCCCAAGTTTAAGATGTGAGAGACCTAGGTTCTTTTATATAAAAAAGTCTGGACCGCATCTTTTCTGGCTGCCCCTCCTCATGGAGGTTGTAACTCCAACAGGAGTTTCCTGACACTGGGAGCTAAAGTCACCCACCCCACCCCCGATCCTCGAGTCCCTCACCACCCATGCCTTCTGGTCATAGCTGCACGGATACCATCCCCAGAGCTCGTCAGCTTCATCACTGCCTTCCTTTCTCCTCCAGTAAGGCTCTGTGAGTGCAGGGATTTTGCCTGATTTTTATAGGAGCTAGGACACAACCCAGCAAACATTAGGCACTCAATAAATGACTGCACGGACCAGACCAAGGCTTCCATTTCTTGAGTCAAGGTCTCAGGTTGGTTGGCCCACAAGTCTACTCTGAGACGAGGTGGTAAGTCAAAGTCATTTAAAAAGGGCGTATTAGGGAGTTATTAGGAGCCGAGGCAGGGAAGAAGGAGGAGCAGGAAAGGAGCCGTCAAGGATGTGTTGTGGTTGCATGTCCTTTATTGTGGGCAATTGGGCTGCAAACCCTTCAGGGGCCTTCTGGAGACAGTGCAGAGCTTGTAGCAGAATCACCCACCAGAGGGCTGCCAGGGTCAGACTCCTTCCTGCCAGCTCCTAGCTAAGGGCTGCTCCTGGGGGCCGTGAATGCTTCCAGTCTGCTCAGCATGCACAAAAGCAGACCCGCATTGCCCAGAGTGTCTGCAGTCAAAGGCTTGCGAGGGCTTGCCTTTGGAACCCTCGGGACTGGCCCCCAGCAGCCAGCTGCCTTAGCCGAAGCCAACTGGGGGCATGTGGGGGGGTGTAGGGGGCGCTGCTCAGGAGGAATCTGCACCAGGGCCCTACTGTGTGCTTATGTAAATTATAGCAGTTTATTTGAAAACACACATTTTCTAGTATACTACTTCCTTTTTTGTTTTAGTAAAACGGTTTTCCTGGAACACAGAAATTTTCAATTTTCTCTAATCTCTTGATCTCCTCCCTGTAATTTCTGCCATCCTTTCAAAACTAAGATAATGAGAGCATTACTTAATGGTGGTTTTTTTTTGCTGGTAGTGTACCTTAACTATGTTTAAAGGTAAATCTTAGTTCAGGGTTTATGTATTTTTAATATACACTTAGCTCAATTCCATATGTACACAGAGCTCACAGAACTTTTTCAAGGCTGGGAAAATAATGTATACTTCTCAATATTTTTCCAAAATTCCAATAAAATATTATTATTAACAAACAACTATTGTCTATTACATTCAAAACATTGTGATAAGTGCTTTGAGGACACAAATAAGAATCAGATGAGAATACTGACCCACAGGAGTCTTTGGTTGTGTAGGATACAGGATATGAATTAAAGTTCTCTGTCTATATCACACAGCACATTATACATCCTCGCAAATGTAAGTCTAAAATTATCATCCCTGAAGTCTGACAAATGTTTTATTTTGTTGTTATTTTTTAAGTGTACAGTTCAGTAGGTTTTAGTATATTTGTAAAGCTGTGTACCATTACCACTGATATCTAATTTCAGAATACTGTCACCACCCAAAAGAAACCCAATTTCTGTTAGCAGTCACTTCCCATTCTCCTCTCCTCCTAACCCCTCAAGACCACTCATCTACTCTGTCTCTAAAGAATAGTCTATTCTGGACTTTCCATATGAATGGAATCATATAATATGTGGCCTTTTGTGTCTGGCTTTTTCACTTAGCATAATGCTTTTGAGATTCAGTCAGGACATAGCATGAATTAGCACTTTATTCTTTTTTTCATTAAAAATTTCTAAACAATTTATTCACATACTGTAAAACTCACCCTTTAAAAGTATACAGTTCAGGGGTTTATAATATATTCAAAAAGTTATACCACCATATATCTTCATCAACCCAGAAAGAACCCCCATCTCCCTTCATCTTCGTTCTTTTTTATGGCTAAATAATATTCCACTGTATGGATCCCCCCCCCCCCACCCCCGTTTAACCATTCATCGGATGACGGACATTGGGTGGCTTGTATCTTTTGGCTATTCTGAATAACGCTGCTATGAAGATTCTTCTACAAGTTTTGATATATGCACATTTTTTCAATTCTTTTGGGTAAACACCTAGAGTTACCATAGCCCCCGGTAATCCCACTTCCTATGTTTAACATTTTGAGAAATTGCTGCACTGTTTTCTAGAGTGCCTGCACCATCTCCTATTTCTACCAGCAATGTAGTAGTGTTCCAACTTCTCTACATCCTTGTCAACAACACTTGGTACTGTGTATCTTTTTCATGATAGCCATCCTGGTGGGTGTGAAGTTGGACCCCACCATGGTTTTGAGTTGCAGTCCCCTTACGACTAGTGAGGTTGAGCTATCTACTTGTCCTTACTGGCCATTTGTATATGTTCTTTGGCTGACCCATGAGTTCTATTGCCAACCAGGTTTTTACATATATAATAAAAGTTTGCACACTCTGCCTACAAGTCCAGGTTTGAGTTAGAATGTTGAATGGATGCTGAGATCTGGAACTTAAGATAATTTAGGGGTGCCTGGGTGACTCAGTGGGTTGAGCCTCTGCCTTCGGCTTGGGTCGTGGTCTCAGGGTCCTGGGATCGAGGCCCGCATCGGGCTCTCTGCTCAGCGGGGAGCCTGCTTCCCCCACTCTCTCTGCCTGCCTTTCTGCCTATGATCTCTGTCAAATAAATAAAATCTTTAAAAAAAAATTTAAAATGTGCTCTGTTGTGACTTTCAAAGGATATAGAACTGATTTGTAATTGAAAACCAGTCTGTGAAAATTCCCCAAATATCCAGTTTCTTAAAACAAACCCACAGAACGACCAAGACCTACCTTTTGGACCAGCGGTAGCAGGCTCTTCCTTGACCACAGCAATTCAAGCCCGGTATTCTGTGTCCCCCGGATCTTTTCATTATCATACCTTCTCTGAAAGAGATACCAAGTTAACCCAGGGTCTTTGGATTTCCAACTCGCACTTTGCTGATACAGCCTCATGACTTGGGACTAAATAAACTGTTTCATTCTCACATCACATTCCTCTCCTTCCTTCTTCACCGGCACATTCACTAGGTGGATACTCTAGCAGCTGATCCCTAAAAGCACCTGGTCGGATTGGAGGCAGCAAAAGGCTCTTGCACATACTGCAGGACTTTAAGCATCCTAGCTTCTGGTTCCCTGTCCTGAGTGTACCCTCCAGTCATTGCGACAAGCTGAAAAAGACCCTGCACATTGCCAAAGGCCCACACAGGGACAGTTTACCTGCTGTTGAGACCACTGGGGGTGCTCGCCCACCAGTTCCCAAATATTCCTCATCCTTCTTCCTACAGTTCTAGGACCAACCCATACCAAAGGAATAGAGCACAGCTCTTAGAGCTTTGGAAAGAGAAATGTCTTGATTTTGAAAAGTAGGACAAGACATAACAATACTAATGGCCTAACAAAAGGAAAAAATGAAAACCACTACTAACAAGGCTCTTAGCCCTAAAGAAGCTAAGCACTCGAGCGCTCACTTTATGAAGGAAAATAATCATTAAGTAAATGTCAATCTCGTTACTTAGCATAAATTTTACACAGCAGCATTTTTAATCATGAAAATGACTGATAAACAGCTAACTTTTATAAGTTATTAAAAAGAAGGGATTCGGTATATTTCATTTTTTAAAACTGAGCTACAGCTGATAGACATTATACCAGTTTCAGTGTATAAGACATTAATGTGGTATTTGTATATACTGCAAAAATGATCACCTCAATACATCTAATGAACATCCATCACTGTACACAGTTATAACTTTTTTTTCTTGTGACGAGAACTTTCAAGATCTCTTCTCCTAGCAACTTTCAAACATACAACACAGTACGTTTATTTCTAATGCTTTCTCCCACATAACGTATTTGCTACCTGTATGAAACACCCCTAATGTTGGGCCGTAGGCAACCGTATGTGCTGGAAGCACAAAAGAAAGGGGATGGGGCAGCTGCTACGGGTGTTCAATACAGCAAGGTAGCACTGTGTATAAACAGATGTCCCAAGTGGCTTGGACTCTGTCGGGAAGAAAAGCAGCAGGTAGTGAAGCCAGTAAGATCTGTCCCCATGGCCCGCCAGTAAATCAAAGAGTGGTACTTATCAACTTTCCCTCTTCTCTTTAACACGCAACACTGGAACTTACATGCCCTTTGGTCCCAAATCATGGATGAAAGACAGCTGGCTTATGTCAAGGAATTCTGTCTGAAAAAGAGGCCAAAAATCCACATTTTAACCATTTCTTTTTTTTTTTTTTTTAAGATTTTATTTATTTATTTGTCAGAGAGAGAGAGGGAGAGAGAGCAAGCACAGGCAGACAGAATGGCAGGCAGAGGCAGAGGGAGAAGCAGGCTCCCTGATGAGCAAGGAGCCCGATGTGGGACTCGATCCCAGGATGCTGGGATCATGACCTGAGCCGAAGGCAGCTGCTCAACCAACTGAGCCACCCAGGCGTCCCCAAAAATCCACATTTTAGAAAGACAGAAAGAAAAAAGAAAAATTTATACATTTGAAAAAAAACCAACAACATGCATTAGATACCGCATGTGTAAACACATCTGGGGGACGACACCGGGCAACACAATGGCATCGCCCTGGAAGAACAGATCAGAGGTCTATGTATAATTAAGACACAACCAAGAAAGTGATGTGTCCTCTCAAAGGTAAAGACAGAATGCTCAAGAAAGTCACCAGGAGAGATTTTACTCCCCAAATTCTTCTGTGATTTTGTTGTTGGGGAAGGAGGATTGTGTGGCATAGCGTACACACTAACAATAGGGTTGTGTGAAGGCAGTGATGTTGATGCCAGGTTCTGAAAGGTGGATTAGGCTTGGTACGTGGAAATGGGAGATGAAGGGGGAGAGAGGACAGGGAAGGTGTACAAAGGTCATCAGGTATACAGTTGAGCTATAGTAAGCAAGATGACGAGAGTAATGTAAAGTTAAATGGTAGAGTGCGTTGAAGGGAGTTTGCAGAGATCTTTGAACATCAGGAATACCAGAATATTTTAATACAAATGAAATAAAATAAGGGGTGCCTGGGTAGCTCAGGTGGTTGAGAATCTGACTCTTGATTTCATCTCAGGTTATGATCTCAGGGTTGTGAGATCAAGTCCTGGCAACAGGCTCGTGCTCAGCGGGCAGTCTGCTCAAGATTCTCTTTCTCCTTCTCCCTCTGACCCTCTCCCCACCCCACACTCTCTCTAAAGAAAGAAATAAAATAAAATAATTTTACATACAAATAATATAAAAATAACTATTTTTAGTGAGTAGAAAAGGAAGAGAATTTCAGGCCCACCTTTACCTTATAAATTATGGGAAGATAAAAACTACAAATATTATGATGACAACATCAACAGCTAACATTTACTGAGTGCTTAATATCTGTTGGCCCTGTACTAAGCATTTTTCATACATTATCTCAGATCTCTCTGAAATAGGTGCTATTTTCCCCCTTGTACAGAAGAGGACACTGAGCTTTAGAGCAAGGATAGGCAAACTTTCTTGGCAAAGAAGTCAGACATAAGAATTTTAGGCTTTGTGAATCATATACTTGTACTATTATGAAATAAAAGCAGCCACAGATAATACATAAATGAACAAGCATGGTTGTATTCCATTAAAACTTAATTTACACATACTAAAATATAAATTTAATATAATTTTTATGTCACAAAATATTGTTCTTTTAAAAAAAATTTTCAAGCATTTAAGAACATAAAAACTATTCTTAGCTCATAGACCATATAAAAATAGGCAGTGGGATCGATCTGGTCCATAGGCCATAATTTACCAACCCCTGGTGTAGAGATGTTAGATAAATTGTCCAAGATAGAGGCACCTGGGTGACACCATCAGCTAAGCATCTAACTCTTGGTTTTTAGCTCAGGTCTTGATCTCAGGGTTGTGAGATCCAGCCCCAAGTCGGGCTCCACGCTCAGCACACCGTTTGCTTTCGACTCTCTCTTCCTCTCCATCTGCCCTCTCCACCCCCGCATGCGCTCACTCTCTAAAATAAATAAATCTTTTTAAAAAACTGTCCAAGATAACAGAATTAGCAAGGGTTAGATTCAGAATTAGGTCAGACCAAACAGTTTCCTCAAAACAAAGCTGCAAAAGCAGTAAATCATTTGCCAAGAGTATTAGATGAAAATGTGAAAGCACAAAGGGGAAAACCAATGGACATTATGTAATGCTCAGCATACGCAGGAGTTTCACCTCATGTATTACTTGAAAGAGTTAGAGTTGGACATTATTTGGCTCCCAAATTACAGAACTTTCCTTAAAAGTAGCCACAGTAGGCCCAGATCTACCAGTGGTTGTACATCATGTCAATAACAGCCTTAACAGAAAATTCAAAATCAAGAAGATATGCTCCTGGCATCAGGAAGCGGATGGGAGACCAGATATAGAAGACACTCCCCATCAACAAAGTTCTGTGGGAAGAACCACAACAATTACATGTCAAGTAGTTACAGAGGAAGGTGTCCAGTTTCCAGGTTGATTTGACTCCTAAGAAGAAATGGCATTTGAGCCAAGCTTGTAAATGGGATTAATAAAATGAAACCTAACAGTCGGGGCACCTAGGTGGCCCAGCCTCTGCCTTCGGCTCGGGGTATGGTCTCCGGGTCCTGGGATTGAGCCCCGCATTAGGCTCTCTGTTCAGCAGGGAGCCTGCTTCCCGCTCTCTCTCTCCCTGCCTCTCTGCCTACTTCTGGCATCTCTGTCAAATAAATAAATAAAATCTTTAAAAAAAAAAAAAAATGAAACCTCGGGATGCCTGGGTGGCTCAGTTGATTAAGCAGCTGCCTTCGGCTCAGGTCATGATCCCAGGGTCCTGGGATCGAGTCCCACATCGGGCTCCTTGCTCGGCAGGGAGCCTGTTTCTCCCTCTGCCTCTGCCTGACACTCTGTCTGCCTGTGCTCCCACGTGCTCTAACAAATAAGTAAAATCTTAAAAAAAAATGAAACCTAATAGTTTTCCTTTAACGTTTTATATATGTGATTGGAAATAATCTATTATTAAATTTGTAAGCAAAAAATTACCAATCTCTCACTGCTGTGAGTCACCCAGTTAAGTGCTTCCAATTCTTTCTTGGATTATTTGTAAAAATTCAGAAAGACTTATTTTTAACACTCTGAGGACCCAGGAATTGCACTACTGGCTATTTACCCCAAAGATACAGATGTAGTGAAAGAAGGGGCACATGCACCCTAATGTTCATAGCAGCAATGTCCACAATAGCCAAACTGTGGAAGGAGCCCAGATGCCCTTCAACAGACGAATGGATAAAGAAGATATGGTCCATATATACAATGGAGTATTATTCAGCCATCAGAAAGGATGAATACCCACCATTTGCATCGACATGGACAGAACTGGAGGAGATTGTGCTGAGTGAAATAAGTCAAGCAGAGAGAGTCAATTATCATATGGTCTCACTCATATGTGGAACATAGGGAATAGAGCAGAGGATCACAGGGGAAGGGAGGGAAAACTGAATGAGAACAAACGGACAGGGAGACAAATCATGAGAGACTCTGGACTCTGGGAACCAAACTGAAGGTTACAGAAGGGAGTGGGGTGGGGGATGGGGTGGCCAGGTAATGGGTATTAAGGAGGGAACAAGTGGTGATGAGCCCTGGGTGTTATATGCAACTAATGAATCGTTAAACACTACAACTAAATACTTACGATGTACTGTATACTGGCTAACTGAACATAATAAAAAAATTAAAATTAAAACATTAAAAATTAAATTCAGAAAGACATGGGGCACCTGGGTGGCTCAGTCCATTAAGCATCTGCCTTTGGCTCAGGTTATGATCTCAGGGTCCTGGGACCAAGCCCCACATCAGGCTCCCTGTTCAACAGGGAGACTGTTTCTCCCTCTCCCTCTGCCCCTCCCCCACTAGTGTTTTTTGTCTCTCTCTTCCTCTCACTTACTCGCTCTCAAATAAATAAAGATAATCCTCAGAAAAAAAATCCAGAAAGACTTAAAAACCCCCAATCAAATATATCTTCACATTAAATTTTTTATAAAGATTCTATGAAGACTTTACAGTTCATTCTTGTATAAAATATTGTGATTCAATACCATATTTTAAAAATCTGATCTGTGGAAACGCTTGTTATTAGAAGTGACACTGCAGACTCTGAACATAGAATCCAAAATGTTTTAAAACCCTAAACCATAACTTCTCATTTAATCTCTAGGGAGCGGAGAGAAAATGTCAATCCTAGTTTACACTGGAAGAAACTACTACAGAGGTATAACTAATTTATATGCAAAGCTACAGAACAGTTAAATGGAGGAACAGGAAATGAAAAGCAAAAATCAAGGAAACCATTTATCTAATATCTGGATAGTTTCTTATTCACATGGCTCTTATCATCGAGTTGACAGCAGAAGTATTCTTTGAAATAATTCAGAAATCATAACTTCAAAATATCATAATAAAATTGCTAAGTGTAAAGAATTTCATCTAAATAAAAAAATATGTTAGTAATGCAGAAATTTAAAGTGGTGTACCAATATAAAATTTAAAATTATCCTAATCACTTTAGTTCGACTAGGGAGAGATTTCAAGAAACAACTAGCCTTGTTATAGATTAAAAAAAAAAAAAAAAGAATCTCTGGCAATATGTGCTCTAATACAGATTTAACAGATTAAAAGTAAATGTGGCAAGGTCAATTTAGAGGCAAACCCAAATAACACAATGTGAAATTGAACAAAGACTGTGTCGTCCGCACTTCTCAGTGCATCCTGAGTGATAACAATCCATTCTCTATTTGCCCAGGTGAGTGAGTCTCAAGAACATGAATTTAATGATCAGTTTAGCTGGACAATATTCCACAGGGCTGACTGATCTCTTGAATAATGTATTAATCAATATTATTTTTCCAACTTGTGAGAAGTACAAGTAAATGTTAGTCAAACAGGGAAATAAAGTTCCAAAGACAAGGGACAAGCAATTAGCCCAAGGGGTAACAACAAGCCCTGGAAATTACCCGGCAATCATGCATTCAGGGTTCCTCTAGCTCATCTTTGTACTGGAAGGGGAGGGGGGCGTTCAGAGGCCACCTTGATGCCTGAGGCAGCAAAATGCCCAAGCAAGTGCCCCAGCGGGAAATTCTCGGAAGCAAGGGAGACAAAAGTGCTGGGTTGGGCAGTGCCCTTCTGGGAAGGGTAGGAGGTTGGCTCACTTACTCCAGGAAAGTTTGCCTTCCAGGTCAGACAATGAACACAGCCCGAGAGAAAAGAGAAGACATCTCATCAGTGGAGGAAACAGAGAGGACAGAAGGACTCTCTCAGCTCTTAAGACTCAATCATGAGAATGACAAGACATCCCTCACTTTGCAGGCACAGCTGTTTAACAGCACAGCTTCTCCCCATTGGCATGGAAACACTGTGGGCATCTTCATTCACCTTTACCCATTCTTCTTCATTCACCTTTACCCATTCTTCCCTTCAAACTGAATTCACTCACCGTATAAAACAAGGGAGGGGTGAACTCAGTCTTGTCTGTCTGTGGAATGCTTATCTTCAGATTCCTTACCTCCCAAAATCACCCTCTGGGAGGTAAGGAATCTGAGTTACCACAGTCAAATGTCAGTCAAACCGGAAGTTAGCAATAGCATCCTGTCAACCTAGGATGCTTCTGGAAATGATGCATTTCATTCCCTTTCTAGATTTTAATCTTCAGCTGGAAAAAAGGTACATTTCCTGTTCCTTTTTTTCTTTTTAAGATTTTATTTATTTGACAGACAGAGATCACAAGTAGGCAGAGAGGCAGGCAGAGAGGAAGGAAGTGGAATCCCTGCTGAACAGAGTGCCTGATGCAGGGCTCGATCTCAAGCCCCTGAGATCATGACCTGAGCTGAAGGCAGAGGCTTCAACCCATTGAGCCACTTGAGGCACCCACATTTCCTGTTCCTAATGACTCTTCCTTTAAATTCCCTGCAAGCCATGCATTTTCCAGTTACTAATTAAAATGCTCCCTGGTGGGTTCACTATTAGAGCTAGCACCAATACAACTTAGAATATAAAAGGAATTCTGTTTGAGATTTTGTATTTTGTATGTTACAACTGAGTAAACACATTCCTTTTTTAAAAACATATTTATGCCTTGAGCAGAGTGCAAAGACATGTATCCCTATTTTACAAATGAGTAAACAGAATGAATTACCAATAATCTTTAAGGGAATTATCTGCTGTTAAATCCACTAAAACACTAAGATGATATGTTTTTCAGACCCTCAAGGAGGAAGAAGGAATTTAAAAAGTTATACTCCTGGGAAAAAAAATTCCTGATCTAAATACTAACTTAACCAATGACCATAGGAAAATAAAGAAAACTGTTCATATTTGGTTTCATTGAAATTCTATGGAAATTAGAGATGTGATCCTATCTGACCCTTGACCTATGATCCATGATCTCTGGCCTAAAGACCCAAATTAACTTCTAATAAGCTTGTTTTACAGTTAAAAAGTATAAATTAATTATATGTGACTGTATAAAAATTACTTTTAATATGATTTTACAGACAGTAGTTTTAATATTTCTCACAATTATCAAAGGATACACAAAGATGCCAATCTAATTTCATAAATATGAGGCAAAAGCCTGTAAATCTAGTCTCTAGGCCAAATTACATTATGTGACAATTTAATAACGTTAGAAAATTAAGATAGATTGAATTGTATCTTATGTCTGAATCATTCTGGAGAATTCCATTCTTAGGGTAAATAAGTAGCTATCAAAAATGTGGGGTAACATATATTTGGGTCAGTTGAGACCAGGTTTTCCCTTTTAGAGGAAATGTTTAGAAGACATTCTAGAATTTCTAGATAAAATACGGCTGAACTCTGGAAAGATTTTCATGATTGGAAAATAAAATGAACATTTAAGAAAATGTACACATTTTTTAATCAACGTAAGAATCCAAAATGTAGTACTATACACGGAAAGAGAAGACTAAACTTAGCAATTACTGTTCTAAAGCCAAAAGAAATAGCACCAATAAAGTCATAGGCAGGAAGAGTAAAACAAATGCAAAACCATCGCATACTGGTACTAGCACATTTAAATACTCCTCAGCGTATATCTCTTCAGAGAACACAACAGGAAACAGCATTTTTAGCCATAGCAATGACCAGTTATATAATCGGAAATAACAGCAGTGACATCCTTACTCGTTACACTCTCTCAAAGATGCATGTTCCTGAGTCCCAGAAGGGAAGAAATCTCTCCCATCCTCCTCCTCTTGAGAGCCTCCGGTTGGACCCAAGTTGCTGGTTTTCCTGGGAAAACTCCTCCAGGATTAGGAAACCACATATGCTCCTTCAAGTCCACCAAATGGAACAGTGCAAGCTGCCGCAGAAGGTGGGCCATGGGCTGGGCCCCAGATCATTTGTGCTTGGGGGGACCAGGGGACAGGATGGGGGCTTGTCCAGCCTCCAGATAATACCCTGACAGGCAGCAAGATTGCAGCGAGTCACCAGAAAACTCCAAAGGGTGAAGGAGCTCTTGCTTCCTCTCCTAACATAGAAGCCTGCCTTCCTTCTTTCTTTTCTCTCTTTTTTTTTTTTTAAAGATTTTTTTATTTATTTGAGAGAGAGAGAGCAAGCGCACAAGTGTGGGATGGGGAAGAAGCAGGAGGAGGGAAGAGAGGGGGGAAGACTCTCAAGCAGATTCTGCCTTGATGTGGAGCCCCATGCGGGCTCGATCACAGGACTCTGAGATCATGACCTGAGCAGAAACTGATAGTCAGAAGATTAACTAACTGAGCCCCCCAGGTACCCCTTCCCTCTATTTAAGTATTTAAGTAATGGCATTCTCTAAACTAGAGGCCACATCTAGTAGGCCGTGACTGCCTACTCTTAATTTCTGCCCCTATACCATATATATACATTCAACCCCCAAGCGTTGCAGTTTCTACTCACACAGATGCAAAAATACAATAACCCAGGACATTCTCAGTTATCTGGACTTTTAGATAATTGAAGTTTAATCCTTTAAAAACATGCCTTCAAGGCCTCTAAGAGGACTGACCTTACTGTTTTCTGAGAACTTCTACAAAAGCCTCCTCCTTCCTGCTTGCACCTGTGGGCCTCCCAGCTGCTTCTAAGCCTCACCATGTCTTCTCTCTTTTATTTCCCCAGAGTTTTTTCCTCCCCCTCACTTTTCCCATGCTTCTCACTTTCACATGAAAAGACAGGCCTTTCATAAGCATCATGGGCCAACCTGATGACCAACCAAGCAGGACGCTCTGTATAAACTTTGGGTATTCGACTCTGCTCAGCTGTTTCCTCACTTACTACTCAAGTGTTTTTTCCTTTAGGCTTAGAAATGCTTTTGGGTATTATTCTGGAAACCTGAGGAGACAAGGACGTCGATTTCTAGATAATCTAGCCTGGAGCAGAGTTTGAAGTTCATTTAAATCTACTGTTCTAGACACATTAATTTATATATGATTTTTTTAATAGCATCACCATGAACTAAATTACTGCTGTCAAATCAATTTTGCTCTCATTAACTGTAACTTGAGGAATACCGGAGAAGTGGATACAAGCACGTCTGTTAATAAAACGATCCAACATTCAGCTGACAACTTATGATTTTATAAACTATTTCAAAATTTAAGTCACTGAACAATACTTACTGTCGCATGGTAGTTTCTATACATGGGCATTTTTAGTAGCTTTGTCAAATAATCTTCTAGTTGTTTCTGCAACACAAATATATTAGATGAGAGGTAACAGTGACAGGGATGTGATCATTATCTCATTTTACCTTCTGCAAACTTATTCAATTCTTTACTTGTATTATCACGGGAAAGGAATCTTGAATAGCATTAAGGAGTTATTTCCATAGTACCCCTGAACCATTTTTCAAATTCCTTCTTGCTATTTAATGTTTTACATGCATCTGTCTTTTAAAAACTGCTGACAAGACCCAAGCTGTATATTCTTTTAATCTTCCGTAGTTACTAGCACAAGACTTGCCCATGGTAGACAGTCTAAAGGCATTTGTTGATTTTATTAAAACCCTGAATTTCCTTAATTATAACACTGAATTTACTGGTGGATATATTACTGTTTTTTTCAAAGCTGTTTCGGGGGGGGGGGAGGAAGGGCAGGGAGAGGTTAAAAAAAGGAGAGAGAGACTTTCTAGTAAGTTGTACCCTGATTTCAAATATGCTCAAATGCACGAGGGTAATGTCCATCACAGTGACTATGATGATGTGTGTGGAAGCACTAACTGTTAAAGCCACAGCTTCTCATTTTCAACTGCATTCATGTAAGTGCACACAGAAACCCCACACTGTAGAGTATCTTGGAAAATATTTGTTCTAGATCGCTAAAAAGATTTCATACAAGAAGACAACTACACAAAGAAGAAATCAAATATTGCTTTCAGAACATTAAACTTTCAGATTACACAACAGAACTGACATTTACTTGGTAACTTTCCAGCAGAAAAACTATCTCCTCCCCTGTGTGTCTCTGCATCACTGGGGCAGAGGACTGGGGCCTCTGGCTTCTGTCCTACCACTCTCTGACCTGAAGGGCTCCCCCCACAGTTTGGGAATGAGACCTCACACAGATTTAGGACAAGCTACTATAAAGCCTGGAGCAAACAGAGGGAAATATAGGTTTTTAAATGAGTACATCTCAAAACACTCAATGATGAGCTCAATCTTGACTCACAAAGAGCCCTAAGAGGTTCCTGCTGGGAGGAAGCTTCTTCACAGAACACTCCTCCTCCTCCGGGAAACACACCCTACCCAGGTCAGAATGGCGTGGGGAAGGACTGCCTAACAAGTTCCAGAGAAGCCATCCTGGGTGAGGGTTCCCGGGGCGAGAACAGTTGCAGCTGGCCCCCCAGCCCCACCCCTCAGGGGCCACCAGGTTTCTACAGAACCACAAAATTATACTCCAAAGAGCAGAAGACTGGAAGGACTTACCCTTCTGCCAAAGAACTGTTCTTCTCTGATCATGTTTTCAGAGGAACGGGGCAAACTTGGCATCTCTCGAGGCTCTTCTTTGACGTTCTGTCTTCTAAACGTGTGCCTAAAACACCCATGCATTGGAAACATTTATTATTCTTTCTAATATGATTCTAATATTACTCTTATAAAACCTTTCATAAAATGGTTTATTTTTAGAAAAGCCTATTTTAATAGAAAATATCCACTGACAATAGACAAGCTAACCCATAATATCGATAAAATATTCTTCCCACCCAACTTGTATACTGGAATAACTTTATATAATTATTCTGAAACAGTTACCTTCTGGTGGGAATGGGGATTCGGATAAAAGCTTTGTACTTGAGCAGCTCTCTGTGAAATTCTTGAAAGTGTTTGAATTTCCTCTTAACTTGCCACTTAAATTCCCCATGTGTTAATTCAATAGTGTAAAGATTGATACTTGGCACCTACAGTGATCAATAAAAATGATTGATTATTTTAGGTAATAATAAAAACTCTAAAATCTCTCCATGAACTATAGCTAATTAATAAGTAACTTAAATTTGGCTTGCATATTTTGGATAAGTACTTAAGCAAAATGTTTTCTATAACAACTGATTACAGAAATAACATTCCCTTAAATGTTCACCTTATAATATACACAAAGACCAACTCTGAATCGCACCAAAGACAAACTCTACAAATCATACTGCTCTAAAAACATAAACACACACACACACACACACACACACACACACACACACACACCCCTGAAATAAGAAACCAGGTAAAGGAGACAATGAGTGAGGACCCTAATTAGTTACCAGCAGTAATTTTGCTTGTCCAAAAGTATAAGCAGAGAACAGACAACTGGAGTAGGGTGAGAGGAAAGCTAGAGGAAATGGATTCCAGGAACACGATATGATCTTAGCCCACTTCTCACCCTTTGCAAATGACATTAATGTCTTCTCCTCCTGCAACATATTCCAAGGTCTGTCCTTGTCTACAACATCTCCCTGCCCTGAAGCACCACCAGTGGCCAGCAAGGTATAGGACAATTAGAGGGAAAGAAGCCCAAGATTTTCCTACACACAAAATACTTTTCCCAATTACTTAACTAAAATGAATCCCCACTTGAAATTTTTAAAAGATTTCTTATTAAGATACAAAGACATTGACTAGTGAATTATTTCAACCAGAAAAACTAACCTATCTGGGGGATAGTTTTGATAGAGTACAAAGTGTCAGGAAACTGAGGGATGTTTATAAAGCAGAGGAGCAGGGTGCCTGGGTGGCTCTGTCGGTTAAGTGTCTGCCTTTGGCTCAGGTCATGATCCCAGAATTCTGGGATCAAGCCCCGTGTCAGGCTCCAAGCTCAGCGGGGAGTTTCTCCCTCTCCCTCTGCACCTCCCCCCTCTCAGGCTCGCTTTCTCCCTCTCTCTCAAAACAATAAAATCTTAAAAAAAATAAAAATAAAAAATAAAGCAGAGGAGCAGAGGAGATCCTGAAGGAAGGTCTGTGAGTTTGGAAGGCGGGGTGGAGAGTAGGGGGTTGGGTAGGGCACTGGGCACTCTGGTCCACCTAGAGGACACTGGCCTCTGCTGGGAGGTTTAGGAACCAAAGGTGTTGGGGGCGGGAGAAAATAAGTATCTCATTCTCTTCTAGTTGATCCAGGCTCTGGTGTCACCAAGCCCATGAGGAATTCCCGGCCCACTGTCATTCATTACTGATGTCTGGCACACTTGGTAAACTTCTAAAGCATGACCGCTCTGTGTAGATGTCGTATATAAAACAGAAGCATGAGGATCAATGCAACCTATGTGCTCTTAAGTCTGGAATCCAACCATATCACTGGTTAATATTCAAATCTAGCATGTGCTTTGCCTCGACTTAGGATTCATGACAGTTACAACAGCTGGAAGTTGAAAAACACCACTTCTGGGGTTCAGTACTGTATGCCGCCTTTTACTTTGGCCAACATGATAAGCATCATCCTCCATCATGTTTCAAACAGAAGAATGCAGGAAAACTCAGAATGGCCAGAAATGTTGCAGGCAAGTGAAAAACATTCAATTTAGGATGAACCACATAAATAAGAAAAATTACACAATTTAGGCAAGTGGCTACATTTCCTGGGATTATACTTTTCAATCCTATGAAAACTGAATACTTAGAAAATACTGCAAATGCCAAGTTTTATCCCTCACATATAAACACCCAGTTTCTTTTTTTTTTTTTTTTTAAGATTTTATTTATTTATTTGACAGAGAGAGATCACAAGTAGGCAGAGAAGCAGGCAGAGAGAGAGAGAGAGGGAAGCAGGTCCCTGCTGAGCAGAGAGCCCGATGCGGGACTCGATCCCAGGACCCTGAGATCATGACCTGAGCCGAAGGCAGTGGCTTAACCCACTGAGCCACCCAGGCGCCCTAAACACCCAGTTTCATACTAAACTTCTTAGCAATTGTGAGGTAGTATGGTACCATGGAAAAAGACTAGCGCAGCCTTTTTGAAGCTTTTAAAGGTCTGAAACCCTATGGTGCTGCCTACCAGCTGTGAAACTTCAGCCAAGTGTCACTTCTGTCAGACAACATCCCAGGAGAATTATGGGAATTCTTTAGAACTGGAGTAATTCGAAGAGTTTTCATAAAGGAATTGCTTACGAAGACATGATGGGGTAAGGAAACCCTAAAGGAAGGGCAGTAACCTGGGGTTCTGAAGGCATCCCCACTTTTAAAAGGACAAGAGGAAAGACCAGGTACTGGAACAAGGAGGAGAGAACCATATAAAGATGGCTGCCTTGGTCAAGGGACACAGCCAGCCCAAGGGGACCCCCACCTCCTATCTGGGCTCTCCACTGTCTGAGCCCTACCAGAGGACAAAAGCGGAGAGCCTCAAGGGGCAGAACACAGGGTGGAGAAGGGTGGGGCGGGGACAGGGGGCAAATGGAAATCTCCAGCCTGATAGGGCCCTAATAACATCTGCCTCCCTGGACTGTCATGCAAACAAAGAAAGATGAGAGAGACGTGCCTTGCCTTGGGCGGGTACAGAGAATGTATTCGGTAATTAGAAAAAGTGTATTTTTATAAACCTGGAGTCACATGTAAACCGCAAGAATTTAGTTCACATATCTTAGTAAACCAAACACCAAGGAGGGTACAGATAATCCTTAGGGAACTAAACCAAACTCACCTGATGAACGGGAGTACAAGCAAGGAGAAGGTCCTGGCTTGGGAACTTGAATACTTAGCTTTGTGAATAACTTTAGGAGAACTCTCATGTTAATAATAGATAGCATTGTACAGTGTATGCTTCTATAATACTGTAAGGGCCAAGAGCAGGCTGCTTTGGCATGAAGATTACTTTGAGTTAAAAAGCAACCAAACCCAGCAGATCCCGGAAAAGCTCTTTATGTCCCTGACCTCGGCGGTCTAGAAAGAATTTAGCTAAAGGACCTGCTCCAGAAAGAAAGCTATCACCACAGATGACTACATTATACTATGAACTAAGCAAGGTAGACAGGGAGGAACTAGCAAGGTCTGTTGGATCAAAGTCCTCCATGTCTCCTTGTTTCCGAGTGGCTCAGCAAACATTTGTTTACCAGACATTTGCTCTTTTTAATCTCCCTGTGAACTGAATTCCTTCCCTTTGAAGTTCCAGACCCTGACCCAATTCTCCATAGTTCAGAATAACATAAATACCTGATTTTGCCCGTTTTTGGAATTTCCATGTCTATGTGGATTCCCCATACACATGAAATTAAATCTGATTTTCTCCTATTAATCTGTCTCACGTCAATTTGAGTCTTCGTCTGGCTAGAAAGATCTTTGAAGGGGATAGAAAGTTCTTGCTCCCCAATAATATAATATACAAAATTCTTGTAGAATGCTATGTATTATTATTAAATCCTTATGACAAACCTATAGTGTAGGCACCATTACACCCATTATTCACACAAGGAAACGGAGAAACAGAAAGATTAAACAGCTTACTAGAGATCACAAAGCAAAAACAGGAATTAAACCATGCAGCCTGGTCTGGAGTCTGGGCATTTAATCCTGTGAGCATGCTTATCCCCTCCCAATCTAAAAGCTGGTAGGCAAAATAAGGAAGCAAAGGTCATCTCAGAGACATTTCTGAGCGGGTTGTGCTCAGCAATATAGCAGGGGGGTACAGACTCATCTCATACAAAGAGCCTAAAGGAAAGGTGGGTGTGAACTAGGAGTCAAGATATGCAGGCAAGCACAGGTAGTCAGGGCAGACCACTAAGCAAAACTATGAGGACCAAGGTAGCACAGGGCACCCTGCAAAAGACGAGGAGGAAGGGCAGGCAGACCCTGCCTCTGGAGCAAGGTTCTTCTACCCTTCCCCTGAGGCAGGAGCCAAGGTGGCCTTCCACTTTCCTCAAGGTGGCCCAAGGGGGCCAAGGAAGGGCCCCCAGAAGCCCTTCCTGCTTCAGGGGAAGGGTAGAAGAAGAAACTAGAGTTTAGCCCCAGGGGACAAAGGCCACCAGCCTACAGCAACGTCCTCCACTTATCAGACTTGACCTCTGTGATAAACAGTAACCAAGCAAAGGCAGCTACTCTAACAGCCTCTAGTTTAATCCGTTTCACAGAGGGATGCTTTACTTGGTGAAGTCACCTTCACAGAAGATGCCTTTCCAGCACTCAAAGAGAAAAGCCCGTGAACAGGGCCTAAAGGACAGGTGCTAAGAGCGAATCAGAGTGGCGGAGGAGGCCAGCACAATTCGCTCAGCTGGGCTTCTGGGTAGTGACCCGGACCAGTCCACCAGCATCCTGGCCTGTTTCAAGAGCCAGGTGACACCATGATTTTCTTGCTAAACAAGCATTAGGAAAGCTAAGCTTTTCCTTGGCTTCTATGTGGCATTCTAGGTGGAATAGCTATGCCCCAGGAGCCCACATTAAACAGAAAATTGGGGAGAGAAGAGGACTAGGAGAGGCACTCAGCAATTTATTAAACTTAGAAATTGCCTTAGGTAACCCCCCTTTTTTTTAAGAGAGGCATTTTCCAGAATGAGGAGAGAGGCATATGAGAATAAAGACTAAATGGAAAGCAAAAACTTGAGAGGCAGTGAGGACTTAGAAGTGGTTTTAAAAAAAAAAGTCTGAAAACATAGTCATCACTACAAGGAAGGAAAATGGAAGTCAGCATATCGACTTGTCTACAATGGCTAACACAAGGTGAGTCCATAAATATTCTGACCCTTGTTGTAGATGTAAAGCGTTCCACTTCCAGGACTTGGGCTTTTATTGGACAGCCGGAAAGATACGTCTGTATGTTAGGCTCCTTAAATCCTTGAGTCTTATAAATAGCAGAGAACGGAATACACGCTAAAAAACAAACAAGTAGATTACGTTATTGCAGGAATACAATGACATTGCAAGGATACACGATATTAGCCTAACTTGCCTTTTCCGGGCATGGGCCCAAGAATTATAACTACTACAAGCAAACAGCTAATGAAGCAGTCTCAGCCCTCGGTGAAGACACCCACAGGAAGATCTAACATAACACAATTAAAAAAGGGGAGGGAGGATCCATCATTTGCCTGTTATTTCAAATCCGCGCTCTGCCAAGCAACGCCGATCAACTCTTGCCTCGCTCAGACCATCGGTCTTTACCTTCCTGTATCTTGGGATCGCTGGGGGAAACATCGTAATCCACCTCTTCTCCCTCAAGGTGCAGCTCCCGCGTGTCCAGATTTTCTATCAAATTACTCATGTCAGCAGCGATTTTCTGCAGTGTGGAGGTATTTACTCTTGGCTCATTTTTCAGGGACATGTTGGCTTCTGACAGGGTACGAGCAAAGGGGCTGGGGAGAAAAAGGGTTACCAGGATTTACTATTTCGAATGAATCCACACTCATTCCACAGTATGAAGCCAGGCTTAGAGACAGCACATGGAAACAAGTCAACACGCTCTGTGTGAGCCCCGGTTATCTCAAGCAACCTTGTCATTTATTTTCCTGTTTCACGTTTAAAGGATTCCTAGCCTGTAAATTAAATCGGAGTGAGATCCTTAATCACAAGCAAATAAGAAAGAGAAACACTACATTGAATAAATGCCAACATATCTTTCATCCAATTTCATTAACTTGGATAAATGAGGAGAGACTCCAGGGAGGCTGGTTTGGGGATGGTGATTCAGAGGGAAGGAATGGATTCTTAACTCTAACAAATACATGGGGAAAAAAAGGTCAGGCAAAATTAACCCACTTTAAATATTTTCTAAAGAAAATTGAGGGCATTTTACAATAATTTCAAGAAGCAGATTTAAAGTTATTTTTGCAACAGCATAAACTTTCTAGATGTCCTCTGTAGGTGATATCCCAAGCAAAAGGTATATACGACTTTTTGAACTAGGAGGTTTGGGCCATGACAACGTACGTGTCTTGAAAGGTAATTGATGAGCATACTTCTTCTGAAAGATACTGGAGGTGCTCAAATTGTACTTCTCTCTTTTTTTAAGAGAACGGGTTCTATCTCATTTCGACATTTAATAACACAAGTCGTTGCACACCAATACCCAGGGAAGAAGAGTTCATACAGATTTTATTTTTCCTTTAAAATACGGAGATTTACGCCTTGAGCGCTGTCATCAGAGTTGGATGAAAAATTCCTCTTGCTGGAAATAATCTCTCTGTTACTACCAGACCCGAAAATGGCAGGATCTTCATAAGAACAACTCCGCCATACAGGCTCATTTATTACTATACCTCACAAACATTTACAGAGCACCTGCTGCTCACTCATTGTGAGGTGCCATGAGCAAATACATAAAGATGAATAAGACTGGTCCCTGTGATTAAGGAGCTCCTGACATGGGTACATGACCCCAAGTTCATTCCTGGCCTCCTCCAAGGTCTTTAGCCTTCCTGAGAATGGCATGTGCTGAGTGCAAGACCTTCAGCCAGGTTCTCTCCTACCGTTATGATCAAGAATCTGGGGGAGGGGGCCCGGGGGTAAGGCTCTATGGCCAATGCTAAGAGAGCCTGACCAGACTTGCACAGCCCTTATGGGAACTCATCAAGTCTCTGAAACCTGTACTGCCATGGCTGGTAGAAAGAGATCTTGTCTAGAAATTCAGAAGACTGGGGTAGAGGAATGTGGCTCTGGTTTGCCCAGATCTATATAATTAATAAAACAAAGTTCTCTGTGAACTACATAATTGATCATGTTTCTTTCTCCACGCCGGCTGTAAGGAAGCCTGGAGCCACATCAGTGGCCTACAGTTAGCAAAACAGAGGCCCATCCTTGCCTACATTGCTTCCCCTCACCTTTCTTTCCCACTTCCAATTTATATTATAATAATAGTTAATGTATACTGATTGCTTCGTATGCACTTGGCTTGGTGATAGTCCTTTATATACATTATCATGTTTATCATCAATAATAAATCTATGCAGGTTTATTTCTATTGAAGAGCTTACTATCCCCTCTTCACAGAGAAAAACACTGAGGCACAGAGAGATTAGGTAATTTGATGAATACCTCGGACAATGTGTCCAAGGTCACGGAGCTTATAAGTAGTGAAGAAGGGATTTAAAACCAGGTCTCTCTGACCCAAGAGCTGATGTTCTCAACCACAGTCTTTATCTTCCTGTACACCTTTGGTAGATACAAACGTGTGCCTGCAATAGATGGAAGTTTTAGTAAATTCGAAGTGCCCCTGGACAAGACTCAAATGGAAAGAAAGGGAAGGGACGTCCTCTTGAAGCTCAGTACTTTGGGATGGAGCCATTTACGCTCTCGGGGCCTTCGTTACTCCTTATAAGCTAAGGACAGTGAGCATTTCATCTCTAGGGTCCCTGTAACACTAGAACCCTAACTGTAGATAAAAATATGTTCCCTATTGTTCAGCTTCCCCATATAAGTAATCACTTTAACCCAAGAAACTAACCCAAGTAGTTTTTTGTATGAATCTGAGAAGCAGGTGGCAGATGCTCTCCAACCTGGATCATTTACTGGAGGTCGGCTCGGCTTCCGTGGAGGAGCTGTTGCCTCTGGTCACAATTAAAATATTTATTTCCTTCCCCCTCACCTCAACAAACACTTACTAGATGCCACCCATGAGCCAGGTTTTGCTTCATTTAAAATACAAGGTAATGAAAAACTTAGAGGAAATGAGATAAGGTAAAACAAGTAAGAAATTACATCATATCACAGCTGCTCATGAATTTGTAAACCTTGGGTATTTTCTATTGATTAAACTGTCTTACGGTTAACTCTGCCAACTTCCTTAGCACAGCAAAGGAAAACAAGAGTTACTCCAGTGACTGTCCTCTGGAACAGAATGTCAGGTTAACATGCATGTTGAAGGTAAGATATACAGAGATCAGATTACACTATATACTGCAAGAAAAGTGGAATAAATAGTACAGAGTCACTGAAATCGAGCTAAAATAAAAATCCTTTTTCAGATAGAAAGAACTGAAGCATATAAACTTGTGAAAAACTTAAGAGAAATAGAAAAGAATCTTCTTATTATTTATACTCAAGTGCTTATTATGTGCTAATAAAAAAGCATAATTTCAGCACAGTTATGTTATTTAATACTCACAATGGTACCACCTGATATTTATGATTATTCTGAAAGACTTAGTTAAGTAACTTGCCCAAGGTCACTCAACTTGTTGAGTTTACTTATTGAGTTTTACTTATAAAGTACTGAGTTTATTTATAAAGCAGATTTGTTTGGCTCTCAAATCTCATTGACTTGGTTATAGAAGTTCATAATCATTGATTTTATTTAATGGGTTGAATGTCTATAAATTAATCTTTTTTATAAGGTTTATGGTTCATAACAACAAAAGATGTTATCTAGTTCAATCCCCATACCTTCAAAGGGATCCTACTAGCCCTATAGTCATTGTAATTATAGAAACAACATATCCCAGCAGCCTCCTGCATTTCTTTTTAGCCTTTCATTTTTGTGGTTCATAATATTTTATAATATCACGTGGAGTTTCAGTGGACCCTAATGATTTGTAGATTTTTTTCCAACCTTTTGTGAAGACTCTAACCATTTAATAATGGAAAATGAACCAAACTGTCCACATTACTGCCTCCACTCATGTCCATGGTTGCTCTGTGTTGACGTTTTGTCCATCGATTATATTGCTGGTTTCATTCTTGAATATCAAACTGTAAGGCCATCCACACTTGTATGTTGTCAAATAATTTATTAGCCTATGTTTTCTTTTATCTAAATTAATCTGTACTGGTGAGTGAACAGCTGCCCCAGTCACAGCCTATCTTAACCAGCAATGGGATAAGGCCTTCAGTGTTTACATTTGAGATAATGTCATTGAATTTGTTATCTCCTTATAAAATACAAGATCATTATCTCTCTCGGTACCAAGTAGAGATGGTGGCCAAGGATGATAATAGCAGCTGTGTTTTATTTCTGTCTGCATCTCAATCTGGGAAGTAAATGGGGTCGATTTTTTTTCCTTCCTGGTATTGAATACTAGAATTATAATTTTTTAAAGGGAACAGTTTTAAATGACCTGTTATTCACTGGTGAAATCAGAGAACTCTAGAGTTTTCTTCTAATCTTAATGGTCAACATGACTGAGAAGTAGAACACCAAAGGAAGCAGATAATTTCCTTTCCGATAGTACATAAGCAATGTCTACGCCAAAAATATAATAATAATATTAGAACTATTAATTTTTTTAAAGATTTTATTTATTTATTTATTTGACAGACAGAGATCACAAGTAGGCAGAGAGGCAGGCAGAGAGAGAGGAGGAAGCAGGCTCCCTGCTAAGCAGAGAGCCCGATGTGGGGCTCGATCCCAGGACCCTGGGATCATGACCAGAGCTAAAGGCAGAGACCTTAACCCACTGAGCCACCCAGGTGCCCCAGAACTATTAATGTTAAAATAAATGTTAATGTTAGTTAATATTTGCTGACTATATACTGTATGCCAAGCACTATTCGTAAAGATTAATGACACACTCTCAATGAACCTCACAACAATCTTAGGAGCAGGGCCCTACTGTTACCCCTTTTTTTTGTTTTGTTGTTTTGTTTTAGAGAAAGAGAGACGGTGGGGGGGGTGTGGGATGGGGCAGAGGGAGAGAGAGAGAGAGAGAATCTTAAGCAGACTCCATGCTCAGCATGCCCAGGGCACAATCGCATGACCCTGAAATCACCACCTGAGCCAAAATCAAGAGTTGGAGGCTTAGCCGACCAAGCATTCCAGGCACACTTATTACCCCCATTTTTAAGAAGAGAAGCTTAGAGAGAATGGGCAACTCTCCCAGAGCCTGTGGCTAGGAAGTGATTAGAGCTGGACCCAACCATGGTTGACCTGACTCCAAAGTCCAGCTACTTAACCAGCCAGAAGTGAACTGGGGGTGGCAGGATGGCTAGACACTGAAGATTTTTACTCCTTCCTTAACATTCTCACAGAATAAAACAATTCAAAAAGGAACAGCAACAACAAAAATTCAGCATTCATTCTGTGAAGACAACCGACTGATTTCTTGCCTCCCTTTCTAACATAACATGCAAAGTTCTCTATTTTTTTAACACATTATTTGTGCTTGCCAAGAAAAATAAATGCAATGTATTTCCAAACCAAAAATCACAGCATAATATTTGGATGTGAAACGAATTATAATTAGATCATTTAAAACCAAACTGAGTCACGGGGATTTCTTGTTTTCCCATTTTTCATTCTGTTGAAGTTAACTGGTGGACCCATACCATATAACCTCCCAGAGCACATCAGATAGCAATGATTTGTCCAGAACTGACTTGATGTTCCCTGAAAGGCAAACATCATAAATGTGGACTCAAGTAC